TTATTTTTTTTGGTAGAAACGGGTCTCACTATGCTGTCCAGGCTGGTCTTGAACTCCTGGGTTCAAGCAATCCTCCTGCCTTGTCTTCCCAAATTGCTGGAATTAATAGGCATGGGACACTGTGCTTGGCTCAAAAATAAAGTAGAATGAGGCTGGGCACAGTGGCTCATGCATGTAATCCCAGCACTTTGGGAGGCCAAGGCAGGAAGATTTTCTGAGGTCAGGACTTAGAAACCAGCCTGGCCAACATAGTGAAACCCTGTCTCTACTAAAAATACAAAAAAAAAANGTAGAAACAGGGGTCTCACTGTGTTTCCCAGACTGGTCTTGAACTCCTGGACTCAAGCAATCCTCCTGCCTTGGCTTCCCAAAGTGCTAAGATTATAGGCATGGGACACTGTGCTTGGCCCAAGGGTAAAGTAGAATGAGGCCAGGTTCAGTGGCTCATGCCTGTAATCCCAGCACTTTGGGATGCCAAGGTAGGCAGATTTCCTGAGGTCAGGAGTTCGAGACCAGCCTGGCCAACATAGCAAAACAGTGTCTCTACTAGAAATACAAAACAAAACAAAAAAACCAAGTATGGTGGTGGGCACCTGTAATCCCAGTTACACAGGAGGCTGAGGCAGGAGAATCACTTGAACCCAGGAGGCAGAGGCTGCAGTGAGCCAAGATTGCACCATTGCATCCAGTCCCAGCAACACTGTGAGACTCTGTCTCAAAAAAAAAAAAAAAAAGTAGAATGAAACAAAATAACAAAATCAAATAGGACAGATGACAAAAGAATTAACCACACACTATGGGTTGTTGGGTAAATTTCTGAAGCTTCTGCTTCTGCAACACTGAAGGTCATCCAGAACACACAGGTGGAAATGGGCCAGCTGTTATGACTCCCAAACACCCACATGAGGTGGTCAACAGCCACCGCTCCAAGTGCCCCCAGCTCCAGCTCCTATCCTTATCTTGAAATCTTTCAGAACCCATTAAGCGGCACACCCAGGCACCATCACACAGACTCTGGCACAGGGCCAGAACCTGCTCAGCCTGTGTGTGTTTTAAATGCCCTGTGTATTTTAGGTCAAAATGTTACACGTTTCTTATCGTGGTTGAGAATAAAAACTGCCCAAAAGCTGCTATTTTAAGGTTTCTGGGGGTGGTTGGAGGTTGGGGGGGTTCTGGGGGCTCACGCTGAGCCTGTGTCTCTCTTTAGGTGGGATGTTGATATCAAGAGGCTGGGGTGATGAGGACCATCAGGAGGCATTTGGCCCACACCCTAGCCTGGCCACGGAGGAACGGGGCACAAGGGATTTCATCGCCTACCTGTCACGTGGGCCTGGTCACTCAGCAGATGGCTCAGCGATGCAGAGAGGCCGGCTTGCTGCCCACCTGCTGCGTGAGGTTCCCTGTAAAGATGACGGGGCTGAACCAATCACCAGTTTCATCTCCAGCTGTGCCTGGAACTGCTCAGCCTTGCCGACCATGGTTGGCTGCAGGTCACTCTAGCCCTAAAAGGCCTTGGTGTCACCTGGAATGACAGGCTTGGCCAACAGGCCCAGCCATGACCACACAAGCTGGGACTGGAGAGAGGGCAGGGGACGGCCCAGGCAATGGCTTTGTATGCTGATCCTTCCCCAATTTTTGTTTTTTCTTGAGATGGAGTCTCATTCTGTCGCCCAGGCTGGAGTGCAGTGGCGTGATCCTGGTTCACTGCAACATTTGCCTCCCAGGTTCGTGATTCTCCTGTCTCAGCCTCCCAAGTAGCTGGGATGACAGGCATACACCACAGTGCCCAGCTAATTTTTCTATTTTTAATAGAAACGGGGTTTTGCCATTTTGGCCAGGCTGGTCTCAAACTCCTGAGCCCAAGTGACCTGCCCACCTTGGCCTTCCAGAGTGCTCGGATTACAGGCTTGAGTCGCTGTGCCCAGTCCGTCCTCCATTTTTTAAACTCCAGATTTCTCAAAATTAGAAACCTGTGTTACAAACTCAGACATCAGTACAAAGGACTCCTCTTTCCTTGACAACCCCCTCATTGGATCCATCAGGAACTCAGTTGACCGTTGCTATGGAATGCGACGAGAATCAACCCCATCTTTCACCTCTGCTGCACGCCAGCTCCAGCCCTGCTCATTGTGCCTGTTGCACTGCAATATCCTCCTGGCTCCCATCTCCCTGCTGGTAACTGATCTCCACGTGGTGACCAGATACATCAAATGATGGCACACTAGCATTTCTTACAGTACAATCCAAAATCCTTGAGAAGGCCAGTGAAGCCAGAACTTTGTTGGTCACTGGTGCCAACACTGGCAAGTGGGCCACAGGGACAGCTCACTACACTCCAAGGCCCCACATGGGAGATCCTCTAGAAAAGCCATGAGCAACTACAAATACCATCTTTGGTGGCCCCAACAACCTGTGTACACACCCCATACACCCCTCTGTTAGCCACTAGCTGGTCAGTTCACCTAAAAGATGTCAAAACAATACTCGCTATTACCAGACCGTCACTACTTAATGCTGTGTTTCCCTGATCCCCACCAATGTGTGTGCAGATGTGTGTGTATTAATGTGTGTGCATCTGTGTACAGATGTATCTGTACATGGATATGTGTAGATGTGTGTGTATACGGATATATGGAAATACACAGATATGTGTGTATGAATTTGTGGATATGGATGTGTGTTACAGCAATGTGTGTCTACATGGATGTGTCTATACATAGACGTGTGTATGAATGTGTGTGTATATGGATGTGTGTGTGTGTGTAAAGACGTGTGTATATATATGGATGTGTGTATATCAATGTATGTGTACAAATATGTCTACATGTGGATGTAGATGCTCGCAGCTCTTCCTGCTGACAGGCACATCCTAGCGCCGGCTTTCTCCAGTGTGTATCAGAGGCTGCGTGGTGGTGTCAGAGCTTCCTCAGGGTACACGTGAATAGGTGAGCACAGAATTTCTTTCCCAAACCACAACACTTTGCAGTTAAAGAGAACACTAGTTACAAATGCGTCAGGTCAGCAGGCATAAACTGGGGCTCTCCAGGAAACCCAGGACCCAACCCCCACACACCGGTGTAGGGGGTGCCAAACAGAACACTTCCCACATCAACCTTAAATCCCACAAACTTTGAGACAAGTTGAACCCAAGCTCTGGCACTTTGTATTCATGAGCTCACCTGCCTAAGTTTTGTCATCTTGTATGGGTTTACAAAGAGGACTTGAAGAAGGGACCTCCTGTCTGCTCAAACAGGCTCCAGAAAGTTACAGAGTGCTGCTGGCTGTTACTGTAATTGTGATGAAACTAGAATTTCTAGTGGATGGAACTAGAATTTCTCAAAAGGCAAACATTTCCAAGCTTCAGACAGCTCTATAGGGAGCGGCAGGAAGGTCTGAGGGGGAGGTACAGGCAATCTGTGCTTGCACATTTAGCAAATAACGAGGCATTCAAAGGCCCCTGGAAGTTCTGGAAATGAGGCAGAAGTCTCACCCATCAGACAGGTGGGGCTTTAGGAGGAAGATGGCTCTCCCCTGACATGGGCCTTCTCCCCACCCAGGTGGAAGGCACAGGTGGAAGTGGAGAGAGTATTTATGCAGCAAGACATTCAGCCCCAACTTCAGATGCTCCACTGCAGGCCTCTCTGAGAAGACACTGGAAACTGAGGCAGAGTCAGGTGATCCACTGCTGAACGTGCCCAGTGGTCATGCCTGGCGGGATCAAGTTTAAAGCTGCTATTTGTACCCTGACTGGAGTGCAGTGGTGTGATCTCGACTCAACCTGCACCTTCCAGATTCAAGCAATTCACCTGCCTCAGCCTCCTGAGAAGCTGGGCCTACAGGCATGCACCACCGTGCCCAGATAAATTTTGTACTTTTAGTAGAGACAGGGTTTCACCTTGGCCAGCCTGTCCCAAATTCCTGACTTCATGTGATCCTCCCGTTTTTGCCTCCCAATATTTGTATACTTTTTGAAGTCAACCATCTACTTAAGAAGGGTATAGAAGTTTTAAGTCTCCCCAGGATGGAGACAGACAAAAAATTTCAACACAATGACAAGGGCTTCAAGTGACTCACTAAGTTCCATCCCGGTACCCTTGGGTAAGAACCCTTGAAAAGTGCCTACTAAGATGAAAATGAGCTGGGACAACATAGTAAGACCCATCTCCACAAAAAAGAAAAAAAAAATGGAAAGAAAAACAAAATAGAAGGGCATGATGACACAGGCCTTAGTCCCAGCTGCTTGGGAGGCTGAGGCAAGAGGATGTCTGGGGCTCAGGGATTTGAGGCTGCAGTGATCTAGGATCACTCCATTGCATAGAAGACCTTGTAAAAGAAGGAGAAAAGTGGGAAAGAGAAGTGGGGGGAAAGATGTGGGGAAAAGCGAGGGAAAGAGGCAGGAAGAGGAAAAAAGAGGGAATAGATGGAGGGAGAGAAAGGAAAGAAAAGGAAAAAGAAAGGAAGAAAAGAGAAAAGAAATGAGAAAAACATATAAACCTGTGGCCAGGGAATTCCACTGTTAAGAATTTACTCTGCAGAGAGAATGGTGTTCACCACAGAATAATTGTAAGAGAGGAAACCTGGGAAGAACTCAAGAGCATTTCATTATGAAACTAGCTGAATACATTCCATTCCATGGACTATTACATGGTCATTCGCACTAAGCAGGAGACGCTAATTTTTTTTTAGGTGGATATATTAACTCCACGTGCTGATTGTGTGCATAGGTCATCTCTGAAAGGAATCACCAGAAAAACCCTAACAGTGGTTGGGTTTCAGGAGGGGAGGGAGAGCAGCTTTAAGGCTGCACCAGCACCAACCAATAGAACTTTTTGCAGTGAGGACCATGTTTCAGGGCCACCTGCAGCTGTGGAGCACCTGAAATGTGGCCCACACAGCCAAAGAGCCAAATCTTTCATTTTCTTTAATGTTAATTCATTTAGATCTTTTTTCTTTGAGATGGAGTCTAGCTCTGTTGCCCAGGCTGGAGTGAGGCTGCATGCTCTTGGCTAACCGCAACCTCTGCTCTCCAGGTTCAAGCAGGTCTCCTGCCTCAGCTTCCCAAGTAGATGGGGTTACAGGGGCTCACCACCACATCTGGCTACTTTTTATGTTTTTGGTAGAGATGGGCTTTCACCATGTTAGTCAGGCTGGTCTCAAACTCCTGACCTCAGGAGAGCCACCTGACTCGGCCTCCCAAAATGATGGGATTATAGGTATGAGCCACTATATCTGGCCTCACTTAGATTTCAAGAAACACAGATGCCACTGGCTGCCATATGGAAGACTCAGTTCTATACACTTTCATAGTTTTTGAACTTTGAATCATTTAGATGCATTGCCTATTTTTTTCATTGTAGAACTTAACAGACTAGTATTTAGATTGTATTAATCTAAATGAACTCTACAATAGAATTTAAATTGTACCAGCAAATGCTGATATATAAAAAGATTGCCAAGGTGTGTGTGTGTGT